TCAGGGTGCCGTACTCTACGCTCTCTGGTGCTATCTTGAATTTTCATGCTCCACAGGGATCCTGCCCCTTCTCTGCAACTCGCCAGCAAACTCCTTGTTATTCCAGATTACAGTTGTTCTTTGGCATGGCCTCTTTTGGACGAGGGGGACAAGAACAGGTAACTCTAACCGTCTTGCTCTTTTGTGCCCCCCACATTATGAAAGTTTTCAGAGTCACAGTGGACTCACCCACGGCAAGCCCTAATCAATCAATAAAGCAAGCACGTTGGGAGATGATGAAGGGCGCAGTACACACACGTATGCCTGATAGCAAGAACTAGTTCTGCCAGACCACAACTTTGCACCAAGGCCACAGCAACCTTTCACAAAAATAGTTCTGCAAGGACATCTGCTCAGGAACTGTCTGTTCAGCCTTGGACAGGCACCACCCTTGTTGTTAATCTGCATAGCCAAAGAATTTTATTTCAAAATATGTAATCTTCACCTTTAAAAACTTCCCGAGTCTCAGCCTCTTTGTGGCAGTTTATTATGGCACACAGATTCCACTGTAATGTTCTGCCATTCCCAAATATTATTCTTTGGAAGATCTTTCTCTGTTATTTAGGCTAACAATATATAAAGGCAAAATCTTTTTTTTTAAATAGTGAAACATTTTCCAGGAATGCAACTAACTATATAAATTATTCTTTCATTGCAACTGTGTGACTAAGAGTTGTCTGCCAATTTGGAAAAGCCACCTAGCTAATAGGAACACTTTTCATGAAATGTGAGTCTAGTTATGTCTATTAACTTAATACTCTATCAAGGTGCATTTTTGCTTTTATAGAAATTCTGCAAGTAGGTGAAAATATTTCACTACATTTGTCTTTTAGTGTTAATAATGAACTGAAGTATATTAAATTATTTTAATACTTATTTCTTTTTACTTTTATTTAGAGCTTTATATTTTTCAAATTAAGCATGTCACCAATTGATTTCAGATACTGAAGGAATAATTACAAAATATTAGTTTAAAAAAGTAGAGTTTATTCCATGGATGGACAGAGAGATAAACAAGATGTGGTATATAGGTGGCTTGCAAATATTTTTTCTCATTCTATTGGATGTCTCTTCATTCTGCTGATCATTTCCTTTGCTTTGCAAAAGCTTCTGAGTTTGATACAGTCCCATTTGTTTAGTTTGCTTTTGTTGCCTGTGCTTTGGGGGTCTTGTCTAAGAAGTCATCCCCTACACCAGGGTCTTGGAATGTTTTCCCTATATTTTCTTCCAGAAACTTCATAGTCTCAGGTCTTAAATCCATCTTGAGTTTATTTTTGTATTTGGTGAGAGTTATGGATCTAATTTCATTCTTCTACATATATACACCCAATTTTGCCAGCACCATTTGTTGAAGAATTATCCTTATTACACTATATGGTCTGAGCACTTCTGTCAAAAATTAGTTGGCTGTATGTATGTGGATTAACTTTTGGGTTCTCTATTATGTTCTACTGATCTATGTATTAGTTTTTATGCCACTACCAAGCTGTTTTAATTACAGCTTTTTAGTATGCTTTTAAGTCGGGTTTTGTGATGTCTCCAGCTTAATTTTTTTTGCTTAGTATCACTTTGGCTATTTTGGGTCTTTTGTGATTTAGTACAAATTTTAGGATTGTTTTTTTCACACTCTGTAAAGAATGCCATTGGTATTTTGATAGGGGTTACACTGAATCTGTTAACTGTTTTAGGTAGTATAGACATTTTGATGATGTGAATTCTTCCAATCCATGAGCAAGGAATACCTTTCCATTGTTTTGTGTCCTTGATGATATCCACAGTCTATCAACAATTTAAACTCAACAACAACAACAAAAAATCCAATTGAGAAATGGGCAAAGGATTTTGACAGACAGGTCTCAAAAGTAAAATAAAAATGGCTAACAACTGTACGAAAAAATGCTCAACATCAATGGTCATCAGGGAAGTAAAAAGCAAGACCACAATTAGGTATTACCTCACTCCTGTCAGAATGGCTAAAATCCAAAACACAGAGAGTAACAAATGCTGGCAAGGATTGGAGAAAGGAGAATACTTATACACTGTTGGTGGGAATGTAAATTAATGCAACCACTGTGGAAAACAGTGTAGAGATTTCTTAAACTAGAAATAGACTTGCCATAGGATCTAGCAATTCCACTACTGGGTATATATCCAAAACAGTTGAACACAAAGATACCTGCACCACCATGTTTATAGCAACATTGTTCCCAAGAGTCAAAATGTGGAACCAACCAAGGTGTCCATCATCAGACGAATGGATAAAAGACATGTGGCATATATACACAATAGAACATTATTCAGCTATAAAAAATGAAATTCTACCATTTGCAGCAAAATGGATGTAACTGCAGGACATCATAGTGAGTGAAATAACCAGGCCCAGAGAGACAAATACTGCATGTGCCCCCATTTAAAAAAACAAAAAGCAAAGAAATGTGTGTATCAGTATTGATGTAAATATAGTTATGCAAAATTTTGTTTGAAAACTGTCAGAATGTGGTATATTCATACAAGGTGGGTATCAATCAGCCCTAAAAACAAAGGAAATCTTGTCTCACAGAACATGTGTGAACCTTGAGGGAACTGTTCTGAAGTAGCCAGTCACAAAAAGACAAAGTCTATGATTCCAGTTAAATGTGGTGGCTAGAGTACTCAGATTCATAGAAAGGGAAGGCTGCCAGCATCCGGGAGAGGGAAATAGGGGGAGCTGTTGTTTGATAGAGTTTCAGTTTTGTAAGATGGAAAAGTTCTGGAGAGCTATTTGACAACACATATGCACTTTGGTGAGCTGCACACTTGAAAATGGCCAAGATGGTGTAAGTTAGTACAAGTTAAAAAAGAATGGCAGAGCACTGACTGAGATGGGGTGGAGACCCTGCCCTGGTCTGACAGGTTGCTTCTTTCTATCCCTGGGAACCTCTCCACCCACCTGAGCATCCACTGCTCTGGCACTGCTCAAAGCAACCACTTCTGGCTCCATCTCCCCACTGGGGTCTCTAAGCACCTGGAGGCAGCTGCTGCTATTTAAATTAGTGTCCACAGACCCTACCAGGGGATCTGGCAGACAGTAAGTGCTCAAAAAAGGTTTGCGTAAGTGATTAAACCAAGACAATGACAGTTTCCAATAATGAGTAAACCAAGATAGCATCATATATGGATATGGTATCCTTTAAGACTCTGCATCAGGGAGCCTATTGATTGTTTAATAAAGCACTTGGATGTTCAGTGTATGAACACCACGATGGCACGCTGACCTGTCCTCTTGGGAAAATGGGAAGAGTGCGGTTGGAAGGATAAACAAAGGACAAAGCTGGAAGCCACTTTGGGGGGTGACATCACTTTTCAAGTGATTATTTTCATATGTGATTTCCATTTGCTGCTAAACATATGGATTTTTTTTTATAAATATTTGCCCCAGAGAGATTGTGCACAGCCTCATTTATCTGTTGAGCGTGTGTTTTAAAGCTGCAAAATGACAGAATCCCCTTGTTCTAGCATCAAGGGGGTTAAACAGCCCTTCCCACCCCGTGCAGTGTGTCTCACCTACTTACTGCAGCACTGATGTGCGTTTCCAGAACCATTATCTTCAGCTATTCTTGAATTTCACTCATTCTAAATAAGCCTCAGAGCCCTTACATAGCACTTTAAGTGGAAAAAAAGGACCCCAAATGGCAAAAATCCTCTTTTTGATGTTGGCTGAGAAGCTGTTGTCTGTTTAAAATTTAATTAAAAAAAAAAAACATATGAAACTCTTCACATAATCTAATCTGCTCGCCAAAATTCTTTTTAGTTAGACTTTGAAGCTATTTTGAGTGTCCTATCACACCAGGGCGGGTTTCCTTGGGTGCTTTTTATTAAAAATAATCCATCTTTCATACTTCCCCATATTAATTTCATTCCTTTGTTATTTTTTCATCTGCTTGCTTTCTCTCCACCTCAGTGACAGCTGGAAGATGGTGCAGAGAACTGAAGGGCGAGCCCTGAATCTACGCGCCCGCTCTGTCATGCTGTACAAAGCACCAGAGAGCAAGGACGCAGAACGGCCATCGCTACTCTTTCACTTCTGCTTAGAAAATTCTCATAAGCGGAAGATGCTGCTGCGGTCCTCTGTGTGGTCTGGCTGGGGGCAGAAGCCGTGGATGGGGCGGGAGGGCACACAGGAGCCAGACCCACTGTTCAAACAGTTCACCGATACTGACTGCAGCATGATGAACTGACCCGCCACGTCCTAAACAGAAAGTATCATCTTTGCCGTATACCCAAACCTTTCTGATTTTGGGGCCTCCTTGTGTTCCATCAGCTTGCCTGTCTCTCTAGCTTTAGACGCATTTAGCATCTGAGAGGGCCATTCTTTCCTTGTTCATCTTTTTCAACAATTTCCTTGGCTTTCAACGTTCCAAGTCCTACCTTTCTTTCTGCCCTGTCTCTGTTTAAGTTGCTGTGAACCTGATACACCTGGGCCCCTTCAGGAACACATGGTTCTTCAAAAGACACTGAGAGCCAGGCCTTAATTTAAAGAAGGGGTTAGGGGTTGGCGCTGTGGCACAGCAGGTTAAGCTGCCGTCTGCAGTGTGGGCATCGCAAAGGGGCGCCAGTTTGGGTCCTGGCCGCTCTGCTTCTATTCCAGCCCCTGCTAATACGCCTAGGAAAGCAGCAGAGGATGGCCCAAGTGCCTGGGTCCCTGCATCCCTGTGGGAAATCTGGAGGAAGCTCCTGGCTTCTCGTCGGCCCAGCTCCGGCCACTGCGGCCAATTTAGGAGTGAACCAGTGGATTGAGGATCTCTGTCTCTTCCCCCTCTCTGTACCTCTGCCTTTAAAATAAATAAATCTTTTATAAAAAAGGATGGGCTAATGTCCCTTCTGTTGTTTTCAGTGGGCTCTGTATCAAACCGCAGCAGCAGAAGGTAAATCCTTCACCCCTCCAGGTGAATGGACGCAATCATCCATTAAAAGCACTGTACCTGAGCAATCGTCTCTGGGTCCAGGGGCTTGTGGTCGTTGAAGCTTGTGTACTGCCCTGATGACGTGGACCTCCTGATAGGGGGGCTGTCGATCTTCTTGAGGGAGTCGTGCCGGCTGATGTTGGTCAGGCTGCCGTGGCCGGGGCGGCGCCTCCTCTCGGGACTGTCGTTGTTGAGGCCACGGTTCTGCAGCAGGCCCCGGGGGTGACTGGCCAGGCTTGGGGACCCCAGGTCAACTGAGGAGTTGGAAAGAGCATGTGGCGGGTGGAGGGGGCAGTGGCCATCACTGGTCCTGCCAGGACGCCTTCCTGGAGGGGGCGGCTCTCCTCTTTTCCTTTGTCTAGACATCCACAGACAGAGAACATAGGAGAGGTCATTGCATGGGGTAATGCATGGTGGCTCTTGTGGGAGCTGGAGGCTTGGGAGCCCAGTGAGCTGATTCTACCTACCTGGCCAAGTAGCCGTCGGAGTGCCGGTCCGTCGGGGAGCTCATGTCCTTGGACGAAGACTTGTCCTCGGTGACTGGCCCACTGCTGGCTTCACTGTCGGCTTTTTGGCTCAGAGTGTCTGAAAATGCATCATCCCTGAAACAGGGAGAGTCAGGAGTGAGGGTCCACTGGGAGACAAATGGGATGAAAAAGTGATGGCATTTGTGGACGCAACACACAACACACGCTGTTTTCTTTTCATTACAAAAATAACGCGATTTTACTGTAGGTAAGTTAAAAATTCTAGATACATAAAAAAGAGTGAAGTAATAATCACCTATAATATAGCATATAGTATAATGACTATTAGGATTTTAGGATATATTATTCCACCCCCTTTTTTTTCCCCTCTATGTCTGGGATATACCTCTATGAGGGTGTGCCTAGTATTTATAATATAGACATCTATAAGGTTAGGTACATTATTTAAAAAAATATTTTTCATTTTATTTGAAAGGCAGAGAGATAGAGAAAGAGACAGATGAAGAGAGATTGCCCATGTGCTGGTTCACCCTCCAAAGCCCCAGTGACTGGGATTGGGCCAGGCTGAAGCTAGGAGCCCAGGACTCTGTCTAGGTCTCCCACATGGGAGGCAGGGATCCAAGTACTTGAGCCATCACCTGCTGCCTCCCAGGCTGTGAATTAGCAGGAAGCAGAACAGCCAGGAATTGAACCAGGCACTCAGATATGTGATGAGGGTGTGGAGACTTACCCGCCCTGCCACACACTCACCCCTGATTCAGTACTTTAGGTACATAAATGCCTGTTTGTTTACCCATACATAGTACTTCTTGGACTCTGAGATACAAACTTTAACATTTTAAATTAGGCTGAATCAGACACTGTATATATTTCGTGTATTAGTGTTTCTTCCGTTGGTAATGCACTGTGAAACACTGTACTCAGAAAACACTGGAGCCAAAAAAAAAAAAGTGTTGTTTTGCTGTGGGATGCCATTTGTGATGTTGGCATCCCATACTGGAGTGCTAAATTAAATCCAGCTTCTTGCTCATGCACCTGGGGAGGCAGCAGATAATGGCTCAACTACTTGGGCCCCTGCTACTCACACGGGAGACCAGGATGGAGTGCCCAGTTCTTGATTTTTGCTTGGCCCACGCCTCTGTGTTGTGGTCATTGGGGGAGTGACCCAGCAGATGAAAGATCGCTCCCTGTCAGATAAATGAATCTAAAAGAAATAGAGGTAACACTATGTTCACTTTGTAACCTGTGTCTTTTACTTAATGTCTTTAGATACTGTTGAAATGACAGTTTTCTCATCAGCGAAGTTCAAAAACATGAAAAATCCCTAGAGAGGATTCCCTTAGACTTGAGGTCGGTAGCTTCACCCTTGGGAACTTGGAGTTGAAAGACATGAAGAACAGAGCAGCACTGCTTTGGAATTAGCAGTGCATTTCCACTGTGAAAGCTATTTTCTGTTTTATTTCTTTAAAAACCCAGAAGCTTCAAAAAGATGTTTCCCAGTAGTGTTAGCTCCAAACTCGTTAAGGGTTTGGGAAATGGAAACCTGGGGTCCCAAAGTACTATTAGCAAGGTCACCGAGCAGGTGAAGAAGTATGGCCAGCTAGCAAGCCCGGCCTCTGGGGCCTCTGCTGAGCTTCCCTCACGCTGGCGCTGGAAGTGGGGATCACTCACATATCCTGCACCACTATGTACTGGTGGGGCACAAGCCCGTCGACCCCGTTGTGTCGGCCTTCCCACCAGTCCTCGGAGGCGCGGTGGTACAGCAGCAGTGAGGCGCCTTTCTTGAAGGTCAGCTCTCTGGCAGATCGTCCAACGTAGTCAAACTTGGCTATTGCTTCTATTGGCTCACACTCTACAGAGAACACACCAGAGGAGGGAGGCATGGGGCGGTTAGGAAGGCAGCGCACACTCTGAAAGGTCTACCTGGAGCTTGAGAAGCAAACAGGGCCCTTTGAACGGCGGGTCGGAATAGGCTAACAAACCACCCACCAGGTCAGGGGATATAGGGGCTGCTGGGAGAGATGCAGAAAAACGCTATCTTGCTGTCATCAGCTTCTCGGGCCATGAAAATCCAAACATGAGCTCTTAATTTCCACAGTCTCTTACCAGAGATTTAATGGCAATGTAATAAAAAATATTACAGACTGGAATACAACACAAACTCTCTCCTTGGGTTGCAATATCCTCCACGGTTGCTCCCATAGTCTTTTGATATTGATGGAGTTTTCTTGCAATATGTTCTTAACCACTTATAACAGGGGAAAAAAGTCATCATCCCAAAAACACTAGGAAGTTTCTGCTTTATTAGCTTGCTTTTAAAAATCCAAGTAAATACTGTTTGAATATATTTCATTTTCTCATAGTGATTGGGCACTATCAGATCTTCAAGCTACCATCAACATTAGTGATAACTTTTTACTCTATTATCAGCAACAAAATTAGACTGCCCTCTATCCAAATTAAAGGACTACATTTGAAAATTGTATTTTCTGGAGATCAACAGATTTTCAAGGTTATATTGTGAGTGGGAAAAAAAGGCCAATCCCCAAAAGGTTACATGCTATATTATTCCAGCTGCATATCATGCCTCAAATGACATAATTTTAGAGATGGAAAATAGTGGTTCCCAGAGGGTGGGAGTGGGGAGGACAAAGAAGGGATGAGGCTGTGGCTTTATAAAGAGTGGTAAGAAGGGTCCTTGTAATGGAACTCTGCTTGGTCTGGACTGTGGCTGAGTCACACAAACGTATACACAGGACAAAACTGTATAGAACTAAGTAAACACACACAGGAGTGCATGTAAGACTGGTGAAATGTGGACATGGGGGTAGGACCATGGCCATGCCAACCTCTTGGTTGTGATACTATCCTACAGTCATGTCAGTCATTACTGTCAAGAGAAAATGGAGACGGGTGCATGCAATCCCTCTGTGTTTTTTATTAGAACTGTATATAAGTCCACTGTGACCTCCAAATAAAAAAGTTAATTAAAAAATATTGAGGGGCCAGCGCTGTGGCATAGTAGGTAAAGCTGCCACCTATAGCACTGGCATCCCACACGGGTCCTGGTTTGATTCCTGGCTGCTCCGCTTCTGATCCAGCTCCCTGCTGATCTGGAAAAGCAGCGGAAATGGCCCAAGTGCTTGGGCCCCTGTACCCACATGGGAGATCGGGATGAAGTTCCTAACTTTGGCCTGGCACAGCCCTGGTGTTGTGACCATCTGGGCAGTGAACCCACGGATGGAAGACTTCTGTTTCTCTCTCTGCCTTTGCCTCTCCCTATCTGTAACTCTGAGTTTCAAATAAATATATCTTAAAAAAAAAAAAGCCAAAAAGATATTGAAGTCTTGGTGTAGAATTGGAATTCAGCCCTTATCTAATTCTGACCACAAATATTAGAAACAAACAAGACAAACTCAAGAGCTTCAAGAGTATTTTATGATTCCTCTGATTGCACACAGCCCTTTGAGATGTTGAGATCTTTCGTCCTCTTACCCACCATGACTGTCTCCTCACCTTTGCCAACATAGGTGAGTAAGCTCCTAATCAATCAACAGAACTGAAAAAGACTCGAGACAAGAGGTGAAGTCCTCCAGATGTCTATGCACCGAGCAATAGTTCATTGGCTAGAGACTGACCATGTGTTAGTTTCCACATACGTGAGAATAAGGGCACACATGGTAGATTAAAAGCTACTGATCTGTCAGAAATTCCTGTTAGAAATTCTTCTATTTCTTTTGGTAACAAACTTGCCCATTTAAAGTTTACTGTTTCCCAAGTTTACTGCAATCCCTTCAATATCTCTTTCGCGTCTATCTAATAACTGCATGAGAAATTCTTGGTTTGACAGCTGGGCTTCAAAATTCTCTGGGACATCTGAGTCAAAAGCAGAAAATCCAACACACATGCTGAAATCCTAGGTTTCACCGTATATAAAGGGCCTGAGTAAATTTCAGCTAAATATTTTAAATAAAGACAAACAATGGCCCATCTTTTTGCTAGTGACTAATGTTTGAGGTGAATGACATTTCATATCTCAGGACCACAACACTATCATCTCTTAACAGTACATTTCTAAGCAATGTGTACAGGTCTAAGAATAATCTGTAAAGCAACAGTTTAAGTTCTTTAGCAACCATGTATAATTTCTAGGTCCTGTTAAGACTCTGGTATTCCCCCTAAAATTGTATTGTATTAAACAATAAATAGCAGTTTCATTAAATACCCAACCCTGTTTCATAAGGGGGAGGGCTGTAACCTTACATTTAATGATAATGATTATAGTTTGTTTTAAATTTGGCAGCTAATAAATCCTGTTGATATGAGATGGCAGATACCAAAATTTATAGCCCTGTTCTTCCTGGGAGACAGGAATGCACACATCCATGGAGGAATGAAGACATAGTAATTTATTAAAAATAACTTTACGACACAACTTGCAAATTCCTGTGTGAACACACACACACACACGACTGGTCTTTTTTTTTTTTTTTTTTTTTTTGACAGGCAGAGTGGACAGTGAGAGAGAGAGACAGATAGAGAGCAAGGTCTTCCTTTTTCTGTTGGTTCACCCCCCCAATGGCCACTGCAGCCAGTGCACTGTGCTGAACCAAAGCCAGGAGCCAGGTGCTTCTCCTGGTCTCCCATGCGGGTGCAGGGCCCAAGCACTTGGGCCATCCTCCACTGCACTCCTGGGCCACAGCAGAGAGCTGGCTTGGAAGAGGGGCAGCAGGGACAGAATCTGGCGCTCTGACCGGGACTAGAACCCGATGTGCTGGCGCCGCAGGCGGAGGATTAGCCTATTGAGCCGCACTGGCCACGACTGGTCTTAACTTAAAAAAAAAGATACCAGTCCATGATACAATACACAATCTATGTATAGTTTGTCAGAGGGAAATGAAAATGACTGATGTTCTTTAATGTCATTCAATCACACACTGTCATGCTGGCACTGGGCGACTTAGGACTTCAGCTATATTCATATTTTACCACGACTTCATCATGATGATCTCTACGGTAATCATTTCTTACTCGTTTTAAAAAATAGCAACATGATTCTAAGACTCTGCCTGTTTCATTCAAATGAATGAAGGTCATGAACAAACGACCCAATCAATTAGAAGAACATTTTATTGGTAATCCTAGTACATCAACTAGTAAATCTCAGTGATTTCATTATTTTGAGTCTGGCTTCTCCTCTGAGAGCTATCTCACTGTGCAGTGTCAATCAAAAGCTATTTACACACGTTAGGCCAGCCACTGAGTAGCAAATCCATCTGCACCATGCCCCTTTCCTAGGGCACGCTGCATGGGCCTTACAGGTCCTGAAGAGACTTTGCAGACTGTTTCTACTGCTGCTATCAATAATAACAAAACCACCATCAGTTAGTTTTCCCGCATGGCTATTATGATTTTGTGCAAAGGGGAAGAAAATTCAGCAGAGCCGATTTCCTGGCTGCCCCTTGTTGCCAGGTCTTATATTTGCACTTCATGGTGTTTTATATGAAATGCTGGCCATCACACTTTGTGTGGCACCTTGCTGTCCATGACACTTTTCCTATCAACTCTGTTTCTTACAACCCTTTCAGAAGATGGTTTTATTCTGTGACAGCCTTGTTTTTGGAAAAACAGCTGGTGACACTATGACAGAGAAAATATGATACCAGAGTGGTCAAAAAGAAAATATTCTAGTTAATTTAGTTACATGACTTTAGAGATTGCTGGGAGAATATCTGTCTTTTGTAAGCAAGGCTTTTCTTTCCGAGAAACTCGGGTGACTCTGATCAACGTGTTATCTCAAACACAGAGCATTCCACAAAGCTTCCCTCTCACAGTCAAGGGTAAGAAGGGCGGACAGGAACGCTTGGCAATGAGGTTGGTGTCTGGAAGACTGGTCTTGTCTCGGCTTTCCCTGCCACTGAGAAGGGCGAGGGAACACTTGGAGAAAGCAGTGAGAAGCGAATGAGCCACAGAGGGAAACAAAAGGAAAATCCAGGATGAAAGAAAGGATGGTGGCGGGGGTGGGGTTCAGACTTTTGAGAGCTATGTCACAAAGATAGACGCTCTCACATTAAAAATGCCTTCTAAGTTCAGAAAACATCATTGTATCTTATTATTTCTAATATTACTCAAGTAGAAAAACTCATGAAAAATATATATGGGATGATTGCATTTACAGGAAAGTAAAGAAAATGGAAAACGAAACAAGAACTTAGCAACACAAATATATAGTGGTTACCCCTGCAAAGGTAAGTAAGGTGGTGAGTTATGGGAACTTCAAGGGTAAGGACATCTTTTTTCTTAAACTTGGTTGTAGTTCCATGGTCGTTCAAGGAACATCATTCTTTATACTTTGTGTGTACTTTACAAATATACTTTTGTGTCTATGGAATTTCTAATGTAAGTAATTGCTTAAGAAGAAGGATACAGAGACTGGTGTTTGTAACAGCACGAGTCAGGACATACCATCTTCGCTGGTGTGGGGCTCTGTACCAGCATCCTGGTCCACTTCCTCCAACGTACCGTGCTCACTGTATGGGCTGTCACTGCAGAACAGAAACAGAAATTCATAGCAAAGCAAAACAGAGGCACTTTTAAAAAACTGGACAGGAAAAATAAAAGACTTTGGAATGGCACAAGAGTTCCGGGATAATCTGCCAACAGAATGCTGGAGCTTCCATTAATGATGTCGTCCTACAGGAGCGTATACATGTATGATTTTGGACTCGAGTTTTTTTGGACAACTCGGCAGATACAAGTTTACTTGTAGAGAAAGGATAACATTCTATACAAAAATAAATATTACCCACAGTAAGGTAAAGTGGTTGAATTCTGGTAGAACATGATTGTAAATTCACTTAATCATTCCTTTACTACATATAAATGGATGGTTCTTTAGCTTCTCCTCTGAACTGGCTGATGCATTTCTGCTCTCTATCTGAGGAGCGTGATATTGTCCTCTTTTAAAACTTTGCATGTAAAAAAAATAATAAAAAAAAGTGGAGGATGGCCCAGGTACTTGGGCCCTGCACCCCATGGGAGACCAGGATAAGTACCTGGCTCCTGCCATCCAATCAGCGCGGTACGCCGGCTGCAGCGCACCAGCCGCAGCGGCCATTGGAGGGTGAACCAACGGCAAAGGAAGACCTTTCTCTCTGTCTCTCTCTCTCTCACTGTCCACTCTGCCTGTCAAAAAAAAAAAATAAATAAATAAAATAAAAAAAACTTTGCATGTGATATTGTCTTCTTTTAAAACTTTGCGTTTTAAAACTTGCTGTGGCACAGCAGGTTAAAGCCCTGGTCTGCAGTGCCAGCAACCCACATGGGACCAGTTCGAGACCCAGCTGCTCCACTTCTGATCTAGCTCTCTGCTATGACCTGGGAAAGCAGTGGAAGATGGCTCAAATCCTTGGGCCCCTGCACCAGCATGGGCGACCAGGTTCCTGGCTTTGGATTGGCATAGCTCAGGCCATTGCAGCCATTTGAGGAATGAAACAGCGGATGGAAGATGTCTCTTTCTCTCTCTCTCTCTCCCTTTCTCTCTGCCTCTCTGTAACTCTGCCTTTCAAATAAATAAATAAATCTTTAAAAAATAACAAAACTTTGCCTTTCATATTACTTCTCCTTCTCCTCAAATATGTGCTGATAAATGGACTGCAGTGGTCCTAAATCTGATATTTCCATGGAAATCCATTTCTATTGCTGATGTTGGGGGTGAGGCGAACCAACATATCACTTTGTCTTTAAAATGAGTGACATGTCTAGAGAACACAGCACACAGGACACACACATGCACATGCACATGTTCTTGGCTGCAAGACTGTTATGAGGCCTTGATCCTGTTTAGAAAAAGTAGCAACCACAACGTGTCCTAGGATCCAACACGTGAGATAATACTGACCAGACATCTCCATGCTTGCTTTTTGAAGAACTGAGTCAGGCAGCAGAGCGCTCTGATGTGGCCCCAAGAGTTGTAAATGCTAAACTTTGACCTTACATAACACATCCATGAAGGTGAGATTATGGGTCTCAGCAGGGCTGAGTTCTATTCGTTTACCTTTCCACAGCCAAGCTCAGTGAATAGCTTGTGCATAAGAAATGCTCAAGTAAACATTTCCAAATGGAATTTCTTGTGTCAGGCTGCTGGAATCCAGCATGTTTTCCTGTTAACTCAGAAAGCAGGATTGTGGAAATAGGCAACTCTCCGTGTTCTGAAGGTGTAGCATCAGACCAAGGTCCAAGTGGGAAAAAGGTGCTTTCAGTTATTCAATGGCCTCTCGGCTACTCGTTCCATTCTACTTAGTCCTGGGTAGGAGAACAGGGAAGGAAGTATCCTGGGCAGGGTCCAAGCCTATCAGACAAGCCTATTTCTAGCTGCTCCCGAGTCCCAGCTGCACAGCGCGGCTTGAGGCAGGTCGAGAGCGTGTTGTGTGGGAAGACTTGAGTGGGCTCTGGAATCAGACACCTCTGGCCTGCCTCCAGAGACTGCTAATCAGAGGTTCCTTGGCCTCTTAATTTACTTGGCAGCGTGGTCATGATAAACAAGGGATCACAGGCACTGCCGAGACAGCACAAAACAGGGCTCAAGACATCAAAGCTCCTTGGATTGTATTTAGAAACTGGAAACTCACATATCAAAAAATAGTGAATGTGGACATTTTGTGGATTATTCAATTGATTATACTTCCCCCATTATTACACTTGGTTGGAAGGTGATGATACTGACATGTTAAAAAATGTTTACTCCAACTATCTGTTCAAAATGACCTTTACTGCTATAATTGGTCAGAATAATAATTAATAGTAAGAGTAAAAATGAAGTTAAGTAATAATGAAAATATATTGAGTTGCTAGGGCTCCTTTAAGATGAGAATTTTGAAATACCTTTTATAGAATCAAAGCTATCTGATCCAGAAAGAAAACTTTCAATTCAATCAGTTTTTTTGACTTAAAGTAAACACAGAAATTAATGTTGCTCAATGGAACTTCAAAACCTTCATTATCTACAAAAGCCACGATGGTGCAGATGCACCTAAAAAAATGTCATCTTTGGGGAAAAGAAAGGGATGAAGATAAGTTCTTAGAATAAGAAGCAATGTTGTCCTGGGTCCTAGTGTCATCTCAAGGATTATTTTTTCTTAATATGTATATTTTAAATTGGATGCATTCGTGGCTTATGGTCAATTCTATTTCCTAATTTAGTTAGCATCTATACTTCCATAGTTTTTCTATTTTCTTGGTATATGTGAGAGAACTAAAGCTTTTGAACTTACCAGTAGTCATCTCCAGCCATACATTTCTCATAAACTGGGCCATCCAGTTCTTTAGCATCTGGGAAAATGGTCTCATGGTGGATGATGATGGTTTTGACAATTTCATTCACGTGAGCCTGGCAAGACACCTGATCCTGTATTTCTGGGACAGGCATCAGTGTTGGGCCAAAGCAAATGGCCAGGTTGTAAGGATCCATCATGTTCTCATCACTGTACTGTGAAAGACTATGAAAAGAAGCGAGGAAGGAGATATGAATGAACAGGAGGGAAAAAGAAAATAGATGCTTCACAATTCATATTCTGCAAATAGGGATCTACCATATTTCATTTAGTTTTTATTAGGATGAAATTCCATCTGACTTTAAGCTGGCTCACCAAACTGAAAAGAAAGTGAAACTTGTGACTTTCAGGCAGGTAGAAACTGATAGGGGAATATAAGTCCTATTCGCTTAAGTAAATAGCATTTTTCAGCATCGCAAGGGAGGGATCTAACATCCACTACAGTGGAGACAAGGATCCGGTAAATGAGTTTCATTTGTAAATGTTATGGTCAGATTCATTTGGGAACAAAGGTAATGATTTCCACAAAGCATTGTGGATGCCTTTAAAATTATTTTCCCACAAAAAATATCTCAGATTCCAGTTTTCTCTGTACCTCCAGAGGAAAGCCTGGAGGAACATAAGACACCTTGTCTGTGTAACTACTGAAAGCAAGCAGCTGACACTCGACTCCAGACTTCATAATCTGCTCTTCGGTAGAATTAGGATGACCCACACTAGGCAAGCACCATGATGGCAAAAGACATCCTCCATTCTCTCATCTTATTTAAGGATGGCAAGTGCTGGGGAGACATCCAGGAGCCTGGCACTAATTTCTAAATTCAGTCCAGTGTTTGGATGTAAAACATGTGCACAGGTGACTCGCAGTCAGCCAGCTCCTTACTGCTGTGCCTTAGACACTGGACCGAGTTGCTATGCCAGGGAGAGTTCGGAGATGTTATCTTTCCATGTATAGGGTGTCAATCTTGAAAGGAAACTGTAAAATCCAGGTGGACAGATGACAAATGGAAGGAGAAAAAGGAGACTCAGCTCCCATTGTGAGATGATGACAGACACAACCTGAGAGCCCACATGGCCTGCTACTTTATCCTTTTTCGGAAACAAGATAGGCTGGAGAGCAGAAAAGAAAAGAGTATAATTTCTACAGTTAACATATGTCTTTTCCTTCTGCCATCTCTCAAGCATGCGATCTTTTGAAAAGTTCAGAGGAACAGCACACGATCCTGTTACAGGTCATTGTGAAAGTGGAGGCAGGCAGGAGTGAGATTCAGAATAATGGTCCACCTTTCAGAAGACACAGTGGAGCTCGGTGGGGGCTGGGAGTCACAGTTAATCTTTCAGGGTCTTTAATTTAGTGCTGACTTGAAAAGCAAAAACTTGATACTGCAATGGTCCTTCCAAGTTTTGACTTCACAATAAGCAAAGAGCTACACTCTCTTTTCAAACTTCCTGTCCCAGGGGAGCTGGCCTAAAGGCTGGACCCTTGTCTCAGCAAGAAGGCACGTGCAGGGGGCCGTGGGGCACCTGCAGGCAGAACCACTGTGGGCACTGCCAGCTGTCTGCCTCATGGTGCATGTACCATTCTGCTGAGTCACATGGCACATTAGATTTGGGTTTTGAGACACTTTCTGATTGACAGACTGCTCCCTTAGTCCATTGTGGGCTACTGGTTCACAGAGAGGTGTGCTCAGGTGTGTCAGGAAAATCTGGTAGGAGTGCATTCTGGGGTGGGGGAGGAACACCTGCCAGTTAAGGTGAGGACGACAGCCTCTGGATTTCTACACTTGCCTGGTGACGAGGCCTAAATAGAGGTTAAAATGTAGGGCATCCCTTTACCCTAAACATTTCATATCTGTCCAGATACCACTTATTGCCAGTGGCAACTTCTGTAAAGGGGGGTGCATGTTTAGGCGCCATAGCTGTGGAGCGCCACTCTGGATGGTTCTCTGCCTTACATTCCCCACTGTAATGCTACGGGGCTCCTGGGGTCCACCTGAACGGGCATGGGCTCAGGACTCATCAGCAGGGTTGTGATAAATCTCCATGGCTTCTGAGAACTCAAAACCGCCAGTGAAACAGAGGAGAGAAGATATCCTAATTTTAGGAAGGAATAAGCTGGGCCAGATGGGAAGGCATCCCCCTCCCCCAGGCTAACTCAGCACCTTGACTCCCCACAGACTTCCTCACCAGGGGGCTTTAAGGCTCACAGAAAATGCACATGACCTTTTAGTTTCATTTTGCATGGACTTTCTTTGAAGAACCCACATATTTCCAACTGCTTAACTGAAATGCTGAATAGCAAGGGGACTTTCAGATAGGACTTGGGGAAGATGTTTTTATAACAGAGCCCAAATATTAGGACGTAACCCCATCAAAAATAACATCTAAAATGAGTAAAATTTCTCTGAAAATAATGTAGTGGTTATTTTTTTTTTTATTTTTTTGACAGGCAGAGTGGACAGTGAGAGAGAGAGACAGAGAGAAAGGTCTTCCTTTGCTGTTGGTTCACCCTCCAATGGCCGCCATGGCTGGTGCGCTGCGGCCGGTGCACCGTGCTGATCCAATGGCAGGATCCAGGTACTTCTCCTGGTCTCCCATGGGGTGCAGGGCCCAAGGACTTGGGCCATCCTCCACTGCACTCCCTGGCCACAGCAGAGAGCTGGCCTGGAAGAGGGGCAACCGGGACAGAATCCGGCGCCCCGACCGGGACTAGAACCCGGTGTGCCGGCGCCACAGGCGGAGGATTAGCCTAGTGAGCCACAGCGCCGGCCTAATGTAGTGGTTTTTAAGATTTCTGTTGCGCTGTTGTATACAATGTTTTAGAAATACTGGCAAGGTCTCCTCATGGTCAGTCTGCAGAAGCTCTTTTTTGGATGTGCACCTAACAGTAAGTCTCATCTATGATTTCTTTCCATCCCTGGCTCCGACATTAGAAACAAAAAAAAATCACGGAAATTTTTAGCAGGTGGTTTACATCATTTTGAAGAAAACATTCACGAATACATTGGCTTTGGATGGAAGTTGGAAAAGCATGTATTTCACTGAGAAGTGTGTTTATGATCACATTTGGGTATCTTTGCATTTATGGCTACAGTTTCTGCATTTGGGGGAGAGCTTTCATCTGTCACACAAGGACCTTGATTTGCTGAGGGAAAATGAACCTTCAGTCTACTGTCGATCATTTTCTCTGTGGCTCTGCTGATTTATGGAACCCAGTGCATGCTTTATAGGAGCCAAGAACAAAGGCAGCATTCAGATGGGCATTTGACGGAACATTCGGATACTTACTGATTGAGGAAAGCAAAGAGGTACCTCATCACTATCAGGACGGACCTGGGCAGGGTCAGGAGGAGTTTGCGGATGTGAAGCGCCCTCTCATAGAGATTATCTATTCCTGCAGACAGAAGAGACGCGGTCAGGGTGCTTCCACTCGCCAGGCTGTAAGCACGTCCTTGCAGTGTACACACTGCAGGGACGTGTCTGAACACAGCAACGTTTTATCCCGGGGTGAGACGCACTCATAACCAGTACAGTGAGTAAGTGACCAGCCCGGACGTGCCAGCATTTCTGAGGCTCTGTGCCTCTGGCCCATCACTGTGTCTTCTTATCTTCTTGGTCTTGGCCTTGAATAATTCACAATTGTCTTGATTTAAAATGCATTAATCCCTTGCTGCTGATTCTAAATCTTGTATGTGATATGGTTTCACCCATTTTTGCTCTGTGTTAACTAAACTAGCTTTCTGGGGTGTGGCAACCCCCACCCTCACCCCAACTACAAATAAGTAAGTCTATTTATTTATCTATTACTATGATCCAGTCAACATGCCAGGTTTGGATCTCTCCTTTCTTAAAACTCCCAGAGCATTTTATGTGTAAGACTTTTTACCACTATTATATTATTTCGTCAATTTTTAAACAAGCATTTTAGGAATACATTAGTTGGGAATACATTAATGATATGGCTCTGGGCCTTACAGAATGCACACCGTGGTATCTGGGGTTATTCCTAACTTTATCCCATCTCCCCCATGGAATGGTGAGCTCCCTGGACGGAAGGGTATCTGGGACTTCCTAGCATCAATTTACCATCTGACTAGCAATGCCAATTGTCCAAAATGTCTCAAAACTAAAGTGCTTGTGAACAGCAGCCAAAGGGTTACCGCTAACAATGTGTTATTTGTGTAACTGTGTTTTACACCATTTCCCATGCGTCATCTAACGCAATGCTAACAGCAACACTGTGGAGAAGGCAGGGCACACACAGTCACCCCCTTGTAACAGATGAGGACAACGAGAACTGGGTGAGAGGCTTTCCTCGGGCCAGAAGGGGCAGGGCTGGGACCAGACCCTGTATTTTCTGCTGCGTAAGTCTGGTTGCCTTTCTTGGATATCCAAGTCTCTTTCTCAAGTTCAGCTTTTAAGACACCCGGAAAGCACATACTTGACAACACACTTCAGAGAATAATAATATGCTCGAAAACATTTCTGAAGCTTCCGGTAATTTCAAGTCACTGTACTCCTGTTTGTTCTACATGGCTCTCAAGGATTCATGGGTCCTACTTGAGAACTCTTGGCCCTTAGCTTCTGATATTGTAGTCAACTGATTCTCCTAGGGTTTTCAAAAAGCCTTTTCCTGGCCATAAAAGTGGGTATCTGCAAGGTTCTCCCTGGCTCTCTTCAACAGCAACCTCCTCCAGTCTCAAGGCCGTGGCCTTTACTTCTCGGATGGTCCTGCTGTTTCACTCCTGCGTATCTCACTGCTGATTTCCTGGCTGAAACCTTTATCATTTCTCAGCTGGGCCATCATCATTCTCTCCCTTAACCCGGTCTCCCTTTCCAATTCCCCTTACGCCAGAGGTTACAACCTTGACATGGAGTCGCAGGGACATTTGTAAAATGCTGATGTCTGAGATTCTTTCATGTGGCCAAGGTTGGGTCCCACTGCCTTAATTACTCATGCCAAACTCCTTTTCCTGTACTCTTGAGTGCTGAACCCAGTTGCTTTCCATGTATTACCAAAATGAGCATTTTATTTTTTTCCCTCTGCACAGTTGAAGAGGTAGGAAAAAAAAGATCTCACTGAACCACCACAACAAATAGCTTATCAGGATTCCTGGGGAAAAAACCACTTCCATTCTCAAGTATGCAATAGTTGGAACTGTAGCTTAGAAAATAGGACCTCAGAAATCTGAATATAAGTAAAACAGTCATGCAATTAACACATTTGTAATATCAGTCATAGTGAATTACATATATTATACTCTGACTTTTTATTTGTAAATATTTCAATGCAGAAAAAGAATGCACACTATGAACAAGGTGGGTTAGGGCCATGTCCATTTGTCCATTAAGTATAAGCACTTTGTTAATACACTTTCTAGGCAATAGTCTTAATTTTTGTTTTATTTTTCTGAAGAAGGGGAATAAGGTGTTTAAGAATCACTATTAAGCAGGTACATAAATTCACTCGGGCTGTAAGGACTCAATGTATCAATACTTCCACACTCTAATTCACTCTTAGAGTCCCAGTAGGGTGATGACATGTCTCAGAGTAGGCTGTTTATCATCCATGACAAACACACATGATACTTGGGAACCCACAATGGAAGAAAGAGAGGAGGAAACACCGACAGATGGAGTTATTTGCAAGTCATGGAGAATTCAAAGGGAAGAACTTTGTGTCCACAAATATTATGCACTGAGACACAGTTGGGTTATCATTTCATATCAGAAGTTATCTAGGTCAAAGTTCTTCACCTGAAATAGCTGGTTTTTTTTGAAAGTATGATGGTTGTTGCTACTTTAAGTTAAAGCATAAAAGGAGCATTTTTTTGAGAGGCAGAGAGGACAGTGAGAGAGAGAGAGAGAGAGAGAGAGAGAGAAAGGTCTTCCTTTTCCGTTGGTTCACCCCTCAACGGCCGCTGCGGCCGGCACACTGCGGCCGGTGCACTGCGGCAGGCGCACCACACTGATCTGAAGCCAGGAGCCAGGTACTTATCCTGGTCTCCCATGGGGTGCAGGGCCCAAGCACCTGGACCATCTTCCACTGCACTCCTGGGCCAGAGCAGAGAGCTGGACTGGAAAAGGAGCGACGGGGACAGAATCCGGCACCCCAACTGGGACTAGAACCCGGGGTGCCAGCGCCGCAGGCAGAGGATTAGCCTATTGAGCCGCGGCGCTGGCCAAAAGAGCATCCTTGTATCTAAAAAGTTTATCACTAAAAATGAAAACACTCAAAGGTGAAATCACACATATTACAATTCACTCTGAACAATAAACAGCATTTACCGTTTTGTTCTTTAAAGAAAAAAACCTGTCTTCATAAATGATTTTATATTTATGCATCACACCAAAAATAGTTACAAAACTTAAAGTATTTATATAAATAATAATTTTTAAAGATGATCCCTGCTTGGCAATAACCTCTACTCTTTACTAGTCTTATAGAAAGGCACATAAGAGGGGCTGGCGCTGTGGCGTAGTAGGCTAAGCCTCCAACTGCAGCGCCGGCATCTCATATGGGTGTTGGTTCAAGTCCTGGCTGCTCCACTTCTGATCCAGCTCTCTGCTTGTGGCCTGGGAAAGCAGTAGAGGATGGCCCAAGTGATAGGACTCCTGCACCCCTGTAGGAGACCTGGAAGAAGCTCCCAGCTCCTGGCTTTGGATAGGCCTACCTCTGGCTGTTGAGGCCATTTTGGGAGTGAACCAGCAGATGGAAGACCGCTCTCTGTCTCTCCCTCTCTCTCTCTGTGACTCTGCCCCTCAAATAAATGAATTAATTTAAAAAAAGGCCATAAGAGTTATGGTTAAAAAAACCAAACAATGCAAACCTTGAGCTCACTGGTGTTTCAAGAGTTAACTCTCCTGATTCTTTGTACTGTGAAGAAAAGGTCAACTATGAGGGGCAGGGATTTAGCAGCTTAAAGCTAGTTCTGGGGTCCTAGAGCTAAAAACCAGAAGGAAAGAATGCACAAGGAATGAGTCATATTACTCTTCTTTAGTATTTGTCAAATCCCAGAGACAGCAAGTCACTCTGGCGGCTAGCAGAGGACACATGCGTTACTGCCAAGAGATTGGATGGTAATCCAAGATTCTTTAGTGTCTCTTAATTCTAATCACAGTCCTTCAAGCCCTTAAAGGCAGTTTCAAATTTTTACTTAATAAGAAATGGGGGTAGGAGGGGTACAGCTATTTGCACATGAGTTTCATAGCAGCATTATTCGTAGTATCCAAATGTTCATTGATAGATGAGTGGATAAGTCAAATGTGGTACACGTGCACAAAGGGCTGAGAGTGAGCCTTGGATAGGAAGGGTTTGCTAACACTTCCTGTGACATGGATGTCCCTGAGGACACTGCTAAGTGAAGGAAGCCAGACGCAAAAGGACAAATACTGTAGGACTCCCCTTCCACCAGGTACCTAGAATAGGCAAATTCACTGAGACAGAAAGTAGAGTAGGTGATATGATGGGCCGCAGGAGGGGAGTTATTGTTTAATGGGTACAGAGTTTCTGTTTGGGAAGATGGAAAATTCTGGAAATGGATAGGGGTGATGGTTGCATAAAATCATGAACGTACCTAATGCCATGGGACTGCACACTTGAAAGTGGTTAGAACAGTGAATTCTGTGCCATGTATATTTTATCAGAAAAATAAAAAAAAAAAAAGAACTGGGGCCTGTGGGATACAAATCAAAGATTTCAGGAGAGAAAAGCTACAGGGATAGAAAACGGTGACACGAGAAGTATATTAGGCAGGGACCCCGTCCCGGCAACTATGGTGAACATAAATCAGAGCAGAGCAGAACCGCTGGTATTCCAGAAGTGGCAGCCAGTCGACGTGTCCCCAAGGCTTCAGGCCACGATGGCTGGGAGCAGGACTCAGGAGGGTTCCCGATCAGCCCAGGCTTGCAGGCTACAGTGACTCACTCACTCTTCAGAGCCCGTCAGCAGCTCCAACGTCTATGGTCGCTACTGACACTCTGATGAATGTGCACGCCTAGCTGGCTCTGAGTGCGGCAATTCATGGTCTGCCACAATTTCCTGTTGGATGAAAAGATGCAATCTTCTCTTCCCCTCCAAAAGTTGTCAGTGAGGAAAATCAGTATTTCATTTGGATTTTTTTTTCTAAGCTTGGCTTTGCTTCCACAATCCAAGATCTCACATAATTAGGCGCTGGCAGCATTCATCCAGTCTTGTCCACATGCTCAAAGCTCCCTGGGTTAATTTCCCAGCAATGCAAGGCTCTCCTGTCAGCCCCACCTTCCCTCGCAGCACAGGGGCTTGACAGCTCAGGGTAAACACATGTGAGAAAAATCACCACAAAACCCAAGTTACTTCAGAACATGGCAAAAAGTTCAAATGGCTTATTACCCTGAAAAATACCGGTTCTCCTG